ATAATATATATATATATATATATATATATATATATATATATATATATATATATATATATATATATGCACATTTTATTAAATTTGTATGCCCACTCTGCGTTCAAAAGTTTATTGTTAAGAACTTCAACACCACGTAGTTTTTTGAATTCGTATTTTATTTAAAACATCCATGAAATTTGTCAGCTGACAGCGCTGTTTCGGCTATTTAGCCATCATCGGAGCTGAATATTATTGTGAATACTATTAAAATATTAAAATCATTGAAATGAGATAAATTAGGAAGATATAAAATAATATTAAGATGAAATTAAATTATATATTGAATGCTGATAATAATAGTGTAATAATGTAACGTACCTTTAAAATATGGTTAAATATAAAATTGAACATAAAATTAAATAATTAAACATATTTATAGTTAAATTTTAAGTATCAACAATTTTATAAAATTTAAAAACCAATAGAAACAGGTGTGTATAGAAAGGAGTTGGTATTTAACGTTAATATTGCGTCTATATCGTATTATAGCGTAAATATCGTAGAGAGTTAGCGTGTCCAAATATTGTAGAACAATATATATTAATACTTGAATAATAATTGTCAAAATATTATATCTGCATACATGGATGGGCAAATGGAAGGGCTAAACATCAGTATCAAACAAAGCCGCCAACGATGTCACTACGGATGTCGGCAGTCTACAAGTGACACCATTGGCCTGAATGACATTAGGTAAGCCGAATCTAGGCAAGTAGCTATGTCGCTGTGCTGTGCCATCACCAATGCGGGCCACATTCATACGCAGTGGGGAGATATAACATTGAGAGAACAGCTGAAGAGTATGGTCAAAGCTATTAGTTTGTTTATTGATGGTTGGTTTGTTCCTATGTATATATATATGTCTTATTTTATTTTCAGCATTATTGGATGTGGTTCGTAATCAATTATCTTAGTACCAGCTACCAGTGTAGCACGCGTAAGATCTTGGCCATGCTCATTCAACATGTGATCCTTGATTGCACCGTTCTGTTTATGCATTGTGAGTCTTCTTGAGAGAGTTGTTCGAGTGTGTCCAATTTAAGATTTCACCACGCTGTGTGGCAAAGGGCATATAAATTGGTACACCACGTTCGTTCTCTGAAGACTGTCGCTAGTGTGGTTGTTGTGGTTTCGAATGATCAGGCTTGACGTACGGTTGGTATTGTAGTATATTATTAGTTTAAGCTTGTGGTTTTGGTTGACGGTAATGATGTTAGACTTGATGATGTTTTTTAGTTGAGTTTCGTCTATTTTATAATTGTCGTGCATTTGATTCTGGTAGTATAACTTAGCTTTAGACAAAAATGATGCAGCTCAGTTTTGTGGACGAATATTGAAAAGGCATGAAATAACAACATGCCTGGCACTTGGTGTATTTCAAGATTCAACAACCAGCAGTTTGCATCTGGGGGCTACAATAACAACCAGCAGAATCGAAATTTGATGAAAAGATATTCAGAAATATTAGCAAGTCTATCCGAGTTGGCTGAATCATCATTGAGTGACGGTGAAACAGTTACTGTTGCACTTGGACTTCGTAAAAGAATGAAAAACATCCGTGTGATAATTAGCATGAAAATTTTAAAATTGGTTTATAATATTATTGGTCCTGTATCCAAAGCAGTGCAGGGTATATCAATTGACATAGCGTCTGCAACAGAACTGATAAAAGACTGCATTCATCAGTTTGACATCATAAGAAGAAATGCTGATTTGACGTGGAAAACAATATGCAGTGAATCGAAATCATTCACAACAGCACATGGCATCAGCCCAGATTTTGATTTTGAAAGACGTCGTACGAAAAAAAAATGTTTGATGAACGTTGCAGCGACGAATGTTCAGTTGGAATAAATAAAATGAAAAATGAATGCTTTTTAATTGTTTTAAATGAGGTGAATCAACAAATGAAAAGTAGATTTGAGCAGCAAAATTTGGTTTTTTTAAAAGAACTTTCGCTATTTACTCCCAAAACACTTTTAAGCAACCGTTGTGTTAAGGCTAATGAAATAGAAACTGTTTGTAACCAGTATAGTGTCAACGCAGAGGATGTTGCAAATGAACTGAACGAATTTAAAAAAGCATACACGTTGCTAAAAAATGACGAAAAGATGGAAAACCTGTCTGCAGGTTCAGGTTATGACTCTGGCATGGAAATATTTTCTGATAAATCAGATGAAGAAGATGACAATAACAATATGGCATATAAAGAAGCCCAAACGAATGATACTAATAATTGGAAAAATTGCAGTTTATTAAACCACTTAATGTTCTTCATCAACTATCTGGTTACTGCAATTTGCTGATGCTATACAGAATATTTGCTACTCTTGCTTTATCAAGTACCTCTGCAGAAAGAGCTTTAAGTAAGCTGAAAATTATAAAGAACCGCCTAAGGTCTACCATGGCAGATGATTATTTATCAGCATTAATGATAATAGCAGCAGAGAAAGATATTCTTCAAACATTCACTGATGAACAAATAATAACGTTGCATTGTCAAGCCTGTCTTTAAAGTCTCAACTGTTGTATAATTAAAAAATATTAATTAAATTTCGACAGAAGTTATATTTGTATATATCGCATTTTTTTTATTTTCATTGTTTAAAATTGTTCTTTTTTTCATTTTACTTACTCAACTTTATAAGAGAAGTTTTTGTTATCTTATCAGAAAAAACATTGTTGAACATTAAAGAGTTGTGTTGTGTGTGTGTTCACATTTTTAGTACACATTATAAAATAGAGCCGGACGGACATGGGAGGGATTTTTGCCTCCAACATTTAGGGGGGGGGGGATAGACGCCCCTGCTGTAAATTATATATATCCGCTATTGAATTGCATACAACAAAAATGTCATCAACGTAACGGGCGTAGATCAATGATTTGTTGTCTGGTTCGGCAAAAGTCTTATTTTCTAGATCGGTCATATAAAACTCAGCAAACAATGGACCCAATGGCGATCCCATGGCAACACCGTTGATCTGGAGGTAAAGCGACCCATCAGGAGTTGTAAACGGGTTCTTAACAGTACAATAGCCGAAACAGCGCTGTCAGCTGACAAATTTCATGGATGTTTTGAATAAATACGAATTCAAAAAACTACGTGGTGTTGAAGTTCTTATCAAATTACTTTTGAACTCAAAGTGGGCGTACAAATTTAATGTAATATGCATCAACGAAGGCCTTGTCTCAAACTATATATATATATATATATATATATATATATATATATATATATATGCCGCGTTCATTATTTTCTATAAGATCATCAATGAACACTTACTTGGATTTATATTGCACCGTTAAATATATAATTTTGCTTTTCTTATGGTATGTTCAATGTCAGTATTAATTATATTATACAATTGAAGGTACACATGTTTGCGACAATATATAATTGTTTTTTAGGCAATTATTACCATCTCATCATAACTATGCTTTTTAAGGTAAATTAAATATGCTACTAAAGTCGTGGAAAACTTTTTTTATCATGAATATCAATTTATTTAAATATTTAATAATATTTAAAAATTATTTTTAAAATATTACTGAATAATTAGAATATTTAATTATCTAATTTGTGATGGCATATTATGACAACCGATGTTACCATAAATATACAACTATGTTTTTATATTAAAACTGTTTAATGTGCTTAACTCTTTCTTTGTAATTGAATTTTCAATAATTAAAAATTCGTTTTGTTCTAAATTTTTGTTGCACACCAAATGCTATTGACGACTTCTTTATTAGATTTAACGATAATCATTTTGAAACAACAGCACGATGTACGACTGCACATTGACGTCCGAAGAACAGTCAAATTTTGTTTGGCAGGCCTCTGAGGACCGTGCACCTAAACAAGATGGAGAAATGAGTTTAATCAAAGGTGATTTAATTTCAGATGTTAAACTTTTAAACGATCAATGGGGCATCGGCAGAAATTATAGAGGTTTTGTTGGAATGTTTCCTCTAAGATTCGTGGTTCCAGTTGATGATTGTTCTAGTAATCCACAATTTTTGAGGTTACCTGTTAATTCCCTTTTAGACGAAATAGGACAAATGAGCCATAATGACATCAACAAATTTACCCTTTCTTCAAAATCAAACACTTCAAATAGCTTAAAAATGACTGGAAATGTTGAAATGGCTGATCAGCTGGAATCAAATATAGAAAACCAATTTGTAAAATATAGTAAAAGCCAGAACAATATTGATAATGAAAATTGCAATCAAACGGAAGATTTACATAAAAACGTTCCTCAAAACCAAATAAAGGGAACATCCAATTTTTTTTCAAAACCAAAAATGCTAGTAAAGCCCAGACCGGGGAATGCAAATAAAATTACTTCCAAAAATGGTTCCTCATCTTCTCTACAACATTCACAGAATTCAAATAAAGATATAATAAAAACAAATGCAACATTTCCAGCAAAAAGTTGTTTAACCATGGGTCTAATTTGGAAACCCATGTCGTCTCTAAACCAAAATTCACATCAAACAAAGCCTTCTCCCAACAGCAGTTACAACTGCTACTGCAAAAAATCTACCGATCCTAATTATTTTAATCGCCATTCAACAGTTTCTAGCCATCACCACATGTCAAATTTAGAGTTGTATGAAAATGTTCATCTTCAAAATGTTAACGATCAAATTAGAAACTCCATGTACTCTAGGGTAAACAAAAAACCATTAATAAAACCTAGATCAATGCAAACACTAAGCAACAATGCGTCGTTTACCGCTGATTCAGTCTATTCAGAACCCAACAGTAATAAAGCTTTGTTTACAAACTCCTTAATGAAACAAAACGTGACAAGAATTCCGTCGAGAACTGGGCAAAAGATATCTTTCTTAAGAGTCGCTGGATGTGCAATGACTTCTCTACTTATTGCTGTTTTTGTGGCCTTAATGATGTACTTTTTACTCAGTTATGAGCTTCTCTGCGTGTTTATTACTTTTTGTGTGCTTTCAACCATTTCCTTCACGATCTTACTCATTTCAAGACTTTTGCGATGTTTGTTGGCCATACTTCTACCGTCCTTGGCAACCCTTAAAGGAAACATTTTTTTAATTTGTATAGTGTGGGTGCTTGTTATAGTTGAACCAATAATACACATAGAAAACAACATGAAAGCTACAATAGACAGCATGAGCTGTTTGATGGAAATGTCATACAACCAAACAAACACTATTTTGAAACCGTATGATGCGCTCATTAACCAAATCAATAAAACTGTCATATATATGGAAGTTTCTGCTCAAAATGTAATTAACAGTTTAATGCCCTTAGAAAAAAATTTAAATAAAATAGAATCAGAAGTAAATTACGGACGTATCAGTCTGCTGGGAACAAAAAAGGTTACAATTAGCGGTTTATTTTAATATTAAATTCCTTATTGAGATTTTTTTATAATTTTATACAGACTTGCCTGGAGCAAATGAACACTGCTTATAAAATTTGCGAAGACAGTTTGTCTCAAGCCTATAAGCAATGTCAGAGCGTTCTTGAACAGATTGGGATTGTTTACCAGCAAGCCAGAGCGGCACTTGATAGTTTAGACCCATATAAATGGGGTCAGACACATGCAAAATATAAAAGAGATGCATACGGCAGGTTAAACATCAAATTTTTATGCGTCGTAAAGTCAAACATGAATAACGAATTTGTTAAGATAATGTAAACCGTTATTTTGTCACGGATTTTTATTTTTATAATTACAGATCGAATTCAATCAGTTCTCGTGACAACCAGCTAATTTGTAAACATCTGAATGAACCACAAATTTGCAAAAATCAAGTAGATCCAGAAGATGTTTGTCATCCAACTTTATGGGTGGGGAATGCCATACAAGAAGCTGTAAACGAAACGTTAAGTGCCTTGAAACAATTGACGAATTCTCTCCAGTTCCACGTCACTGATGCTCCTTATGTTGAAGCTAGATCTAAAACTATAGAAAAGTCTAACAACTTCAATCGTAAAATAATGGACGCTTACAAAGTTTATCTTGGTTACTTTCAATTGGCCTTATTCTTCATAGCGAAAATATGTCCTTTTTCAATTTTGATCGTTTTTAGTGCGGCCTACAATTATATAAAACTCTATGTAACAGATGACAAACATGATAATTGTTATCTGGATAAAAGCTTTGATAGGATTGATCACATGATAAGCAGCCTCACAAATAGACCACTTCTAACACCATTTAGCGATCACGAAAAAATTTACGTCAGTAACGAATTGCAATACGAAAAATCTAGAAAGGGCCACAGCCAGCTTTGCATTTTTTTCTTGAATCTCCTCTTTGTGGGAACTATATACTACTTATGTTACAGACACATTTATGCGCTACAGTTAATAAGTGATCACCAGATCAAACAGCTTGACGGTCTTGATTCTATTGAAATGGTGGTCGTCGGCGAAGGATTATTCGTAGAACTGATCAACGTGTTTTTAAAAAGCCTTCATCCATCAAAAATTTGGAATAACTTAACAAACACTGACCACTGTGTAAAAAAACTAGAAAAAATTTCATTTGTAATTTTAGCTGTCATTGTGGCCGTAAACTTGCTTTTATTTTTATTAATCGTATTTAAACGTTCTTTTCGGAAATGGCGCCACAAAATTGTTAGTTATTTTTACAAAGAAAGACACCAGTCAAGACTTATATGGTTACACGATCAAATGAGCTTCAGACGATCGCTTTACCCAGAAATAATTTATGAATCAGTTCGTTCCAAATATAGAAAGATTATCATGCGTGTTAAAATAAGTAATTTTCACTCGTGTCTAGCTAAAATAAAGTCAACTTGCAAAAGCCGTAGATGTCTGGTGTGTGACTCAAAAGAAACAAATTTATCATACAGTTGCACGATTGAAATCTGTGCTGGAGTGTACTGTGCATCCTGCTTTCGAGACATGAGAGAGACTTGTCCATTGTGTCGGTTTGAAACAATCAGATAGCATTCAATAGCATTCAACGAAACTAACCGAAAACTATCTTAAAATGTTATAACTTCTAAAACCTCCGTTAAGAACATTGAACAGCCGGTTTTGAAATATAATTTAAAAAAATTTTTGTCAACATTTTTAATTGCAAATCATATAAGATATTTTTTTTAAGTTAACTTAAACACAACAATCTTAATTATCCTTATTAATAGTTATGGTTAACTTAGATTTTGTTGAAACATCTTTGTTTTCCATTTTCGAAATTTCAGTAAACACTTCAGTCATAACAGCTTCCGCCTCCACATCATTTATTCTTTCCCTGCATACAAAAATAAATTTTATGCAAAAATGTTTTGCTTAAAATAAAAATTGAAAAAAACCCGAACCAACTACCGACCTATATTTTTTCATTAAGTCATAAGTATCCCATGGCTTAGCAATTGCAGGAAGTTTAGCCTTGTCAAGAACTTTTTGTGGTAGATCCAAGTCCTGTAAGCCTTTCAAATTTTGTCTCTCCCACCTTTCGTGCCAGGGTTTAGGATTTAATTTTACCTTCAAAAAAAGTTAAATACTAATAATAGTAATGTAGTAAATATTAACTATAAATTTGATTATGTGTAATATTTGTATAAAGCTTTCAAACTTGGTTCACTGAAAAAATTACCTAGTAAACAAACAAATAAATAAGTAAATAAATCATTATAGAACAGAGTTTCACACGTTCATTCTTTAGGGGACATTGAGGCTTTACAGTGGAGTTGTATTATTGATATTTTATAGATATTGATTAATTGTACTGTCTATTAATTTATTGGAATAATTATTATTAATTAAAATATGTTTGATGCGGCACTCACGCCAAAGGTTAAAGGTTTCTCTCTCTCTTTTGCGTTTGCTTCAGAGGTTTCAACGACAAACACACACAGCGTATATGAATACGCGTGCAAACCACGCATCATACACATTGCATATAATAGGCGGGGATCACTTAGTATTCGAACCCAGTCATTGCAATGGCAAGACAAGGCGCCTTTAACCAATGAGCCATCACGTAACGACAAAACAGCGCTGTTGCCTCGTTATGACACAAATGTTGAATAAATACGATTTTCAACAATTTCGTCGTGTTAAGTGTATTGTTAAAAAGTTAACGATAAATGGACAAACGTTTTTAACAAAATATGTATTAACATGTAGACCTCGTTCCTATATATATATATATATATATATATATATATATATATATATATATTTGATTGAATGTTCTTGCCCATTTTGTATTAATTAATTTCTTTTGGGTTTGTTCAATAAGACGCAATTGTTGTAATTCAATTTTATTAAACTCGTCAAGCATTTCGAACGGCTGACGACGTCGTTTCGACAGTGTATGTCATCATCAGAGCCTACGTTAAATTATTAAATATGAATTGAATATTTAAAATTGTAAAATCAAGAAGAATAAACGAACCAAATTGGGAAAATATAAGCGTAAAATGATTAAGGAAATTAAATTAAAATTAATGTAAAAATTTAACTTTTGAAATTCATTTCACATAATTTGTATATTGTATATTTTATTATCAGTTATCATAACATTTAATTTATTTTATTGGCCAGTTAAGTACCTTTACTCAAATTTCGTATACTTATTAATATATATATATATATATATATATATATATATATATATATATGATACGCCCTTAGTATATATAGCTGTTAAGGTTAGACAGATATGGTAATAGGTAGGAACTATAGAGTTGTTAAAAAAGATTTACAGCAGAAGAGTGGGTGACAAACTAAAATAATCTGAATGGCATAGTAACTAAACAAAGTTATTTTTCAGGATTAACAAATGGCTAGTGAGTTATCTCAGACGTCGAGGTACCATATTTCTCGTTATTAAAAGTTAAAGCTCATTCTTTCTTTTGCACTTGATTCAGAGGTATCAACGACAAACACACACAACGTATATGAATACGCGTGAAAACAGGCATCACACACATTGAATATAATAGGCGAGGATCTTTTTGTATTCGAACCCAGTCACTACAACAGCAATACCAGGCGCCTCTAATCATTGAGCCATCACGCTATCCGATTATGTGATAACCTAGTTCGTATCTGGTCGAAACTCAATGATTATTATCATATGCCTTTTCTTGCGTATGATGTGACGCTTGCGGATACATGCAAAGTGTGTATGGACGTTGTGTGATTTGGATGTGCCCTTATGGTTAAATTTCAATAATGTTTGTAAAATATGACTATAAAAGGCTATGTGCTAAGGCGATTTACCAAATGTCAAAAAGTTTTATAGAACATCGTCAAGAAACAATGGCACAACAGATCAATGCAATGTTCACCAATAAAATGATGTTAATCTTAAAAATTTTATTATATAATTATTGAACCATGATAACAACTTTTTAACATGAGTTTAATAAGTCTCAACATAATGAAGTTCGACATTTGATATTTGTTAATAATCATTAGTCAAAGATTAGCGGCTGAAATAACTCGCTAATAACCATCATTTCCTTCACTAAAAAAATAATGATAGAAATGACTAAGAAACACACAAATTCAAGTAAAAGCAAAATAGTGAACAAAATAGCAAACTTTTAATGAGTTGGTAGGTACAGGTTCGTTGGGGGGATGTTGGATAGGCAACATATCAAAAGAAAATGTGCTGTATTCTTGAGGAGCATCTCTCAGATAAAACAATTCATTGTCTAGACGTTTCTCTAGTCTTAATACTTCAATCTTCAATATCAAAGGACAATAGAGATCATACGTAATTTCGACGCCTGAAAAGGTTAATTCAATGTTTTTATACAAATTTTATCAGTTAAACCAATAAAGTTTACAACCTTGTCCATCAACAATATTTCTCAAAGTAAAATTAGCTCTAAGTCCTATGGCTGCTCTCTCAATGCATATGCCAACAAACTTGCTCTCCTTGTTGGAAGCATGCGGATCAATTACGGTAACGCTCATTACGCTTCCTGTATATTAACATAAATAAAAAAATGTTTCAATCAAGCTGTAAGTAACAAACATAAATCAAAAATCAAAAACTAGAATAAAAAATGGATGCGTACGAATATGAACAAACTTTTGAAAAACTCAAAATTCAAACAGGAGTACGTCAAGGAAACATTCAGTCGCCGCTAATCTTTGACATTGTCACAGATAATGCAAAAAACTCATTTCATGGTGCAAAGGGAGTTCAACTTGGTACGAATGATTTTCTCATTGATTTGACAGCGACATTGCCGATCGTATATCTACAACTGCGCAGAATATCAATTCAAGTAAAACCAATGTTATGAGGACAGACAGATCATATGCAAATGTGGAATACGTTTTAGAAATATACACTCATGTGCGAAAGTATTGCACGTTTAGAAAAAAAATTCAAACGTATTCAACATAAATTTGAGTGATAGGTATTGTAAATCATGTATGTATAAGTTTAACAAGCAATTATTTCAAAGCGCTTTATATAAGTTAAATAAATAAATAAACTCGTCTGCTCGGTCATTTATCCACCCATAGACTCTTGCCGTCGGTTCAGTCGGCTTAGGGATCTGGTTCATCTACGGAAACTGCTCTCCTAAAGGTATTTAGTGATATAGCAAAACATGTTGATAATGGTAATGTGGTATTGTTGGCGCTTTTGGATCTCATGCGGTGCTTTTAAAAAGATTATCGGTCTCGTTTGGTATTGGTGGTGTGGTGCTTGATTGGTTCGCTTCATATCTGACAGGTCGTGCACAAAAAGTATGTTTCGGTAGATTGGTGTCTGATGAGATGAAAATGCAAACGGGTGAAACACAGGGATCGGTACTTTGTCCGATATTATTTCTCATGTACGTGTTTGGTTTACCAGGTTTTGATTTATGATCATGGTCTGGGGCTTCACATGTATGAAGATGACCTACAAATCTATTCTGCAGGCCCAATAAAAAATTTAAACTATATACAAAGTATGTCTATTAAATGTCCTTATTTATGTTCAAATATCTCAAAAATAATTTGTCAGCTAATTTTTCAAACATGTTCATTTGAACATGTTTGATTGATTGATTGATACTTAGTCCTGTATCGTATTTACAGTCATTAAATTTAATAAACATTATATACATTTTTCAAATAGATTAATGTTCACTTATTTATTTCAACGTCATTTATCATTTATGTTTGATTTTTCTCTTCGTTAGATTTGCTTTCATTTAAAATGTCAATCGCCATTGGATTGTATAGGGCTATACTAGTGGCTGGTGGCATACCACAAGGTTTTGCCTTACTTTGGTCTCCATGTCTCATTCAATTTTATTTGATTCGTTTTTCATTTAATCTTGATTTGACGTATAAAGCTTTTAAAAACAAAACAAAAACATACTCCCAAACTTGATGTTTCAAGAGAAGAAAATTAAAATTGCGTGATTAATCAGGATAGGTTTAAGGGCTGCGGCTTTTGCCCTCACTCCAACAGTGCATTAGAAGAAAGGCAATATATAATCAATTCTACTCTATCGGATAAATATTTTACTGAAACGGGTTCAGAAGGCGGACAATGTTGAAATCGCACGTTACACAATCAGAAATATTTCCAGATGGCCTAGTGGTTGAGGTCGCCTGGTCCTGTTTTGCAGGGCGTGACCGAGTCCGAATATAACAACAAGGAATCCCGCCTATCATATACCTTGTGTGCTGCGTCATTAAGCACGTATTTTTATCTGCTGTCTGTGTGTTTATCCAACCGCCAACTCCCCTGCTATGAAATGCTCATCCTTTAAGCATTCCCTTAGTCTGGTCGCAAAAATGATCGTAGAAAGAATAAACAATAATTCAATAATTAGATTTTAAAATAATAGTTTTTTGGCTGAACACAACAGTATCTTCAGCATTTCTATATCAAACAAATACTTTTTTAATTCAAACAATTCAGATAAAAACACTGCAACAAACTAGATAGTTTTCACAACCTAATTATTCAATAAATCCTTGGACGCCAATGCAGTAACCTACACAATTTTTTTTCGATGGTGAAATAGTTTAAGAGATATTTCAAGGAGATTAAAGAAAGTTAGATTTATTAAAAACTCCAGCTTCTTAAAAGGTTTTCACGCTGTACATATATATTTATTTATTTAAAAGTAAAATATTAGCAGAAAAGGTAAAAGCAACTGGGAGAAATTGATAATATTTGTGGATTCAACACACCAAACACAAAATACATCAATATTTTACAAGATATTTTGGTAGTCAACATTCATGTGGCGTAGTGTGACTGACGGTTTAATTAATAGTTAAGGTACCTGGCCTTGTTAATACAGTGACCGAGATCGAATGTAAAGAAATCCCCGCCTATCACATGCAAAAGTGTGTGATGCGTTAAATCACGTATACACTGTCTGTTTGTTGAAATAATAATAATGTTTTAATAATAATAATGCGCCTCACTTGCTTGTCAAGGCTCTATATAATTATAATTATGATTATTATTATGCGAATACTTGTGACAGGAAATAACAAAACGTTTGTTATTCTGTTACTAGCACATCCACAAATCATGAAAAATGTATATGTACAAAAATTTCTTACCAACATAAAACTCAGGAATATTTATAACAAATCGTCTTTTAAACATGTCTTGTCTCTCCAGCATCTCAGCCAGCTTGTCTCGCCTTCGTCTATCATGGTTAGGTAAAAATTCGGGAAAAATATACCTGCGTTCAAAATTTTTTAAATATATTGACTATAAATTAGGATATTATGTAACGAGTAAGACTGAGCTTAAAGCAATATTATTATTATTATTATTATTATTATATATATGGTTACGTTTGAACATTCAAAAAATATACAATTCGAACATTATAGTGAAACTGCTAACATATCATCAGCACAAAAATATTTATTTAAATGACAGAATATTTAAGTCCATTAAAACAAAGATATAGTTAACAACCAGGATTGCCAATAGCAAAGAAGCGTTAGCGGTGCTACTCTAGCACCGCTACTTTTTTTAGCAGTAGCGTTTGAAAATTTATTGTTGCCAAGAAAAAAAGAAAGCTCTCGAATAAATGGTCAAGGATAAACATTTTAAAATGATTTACATGATTTAAATGAAACTTTTATCGCATCCGATTTCGCTGAAATCAGATTTTTCAAACAAATCCCGACGGATTAATAACGAGTAATTCGGACTACATTTCCTAACTATGCTTAAAATTTAATTTAAAATGTTGGAGTTTCCCAGGAACAATCGGATATACATCCAATTTGTCGAAATTTTGATATAGAATATCATTATTTAAGAAGCCGACAATTATCGAAAAAACTAAAAAAAATTCAAAATATCAATTTCGAAAATTTCCGACAGTTAAAAATATAGGACTCAGTACTTGATCCGTTGATCGCATGTTTGTGGAATTTTAAAGCCAACGTAATTTTCATTAAATTCCAGGAGGTGGAAAAATATTTTTTGTCAAACAAATAGTTCAGTTAGTGAGGAGTTCATGCCGGAAGGTAGAAATGTTCATTTGCCAAAATTTCAAATGTTCATCTGCCAGAAATCAGTGAACCTACGGTAGAGCGAAAAACTTGACGATTGTGCAGGTTACAAACAATATGAAAAATCCTCTTTAATGGGATTTTTTGGCTACCAATTTTGATGGTAGACCGTCAAGTTATTCGCTGTTCACTGATTTCTGGCAGATAAACATTTGAAAAATAATACTATTCTACCTTCCGACAAACAACTCCTCACTAACTGAACTCCTTGTTTGACAAAAAATACTCTTCCACCTCCTGGAAAGCAACTCCTCAGGCATGTCTTCGTAACCTTTGCTCGTCAACTCCTCAAAACTTTCGTTTACACCCTCTATGCCAACTTTTTCACTCCTCTCTCATTGGCTGCGAACTAGGTTGCGCCAACTTTTGAAATATATAGCATAGAGCTTAACAAACCATGACAATGTGCATATGCAATAGAAAAAACTGTTTCAGCTAAATTTGCCGATTTTCTGTAAACAATGATCTCACCATCACGCTTATTGAAGAGACCTTTTCGAAAAATTTTGTAGTCAGGAGATGATCTTTTTAGTGGCGGATTTAGGGGGGCTTCCGTAACAAGCAGCATTTTTATTATAACTTAGTTTTTACACACGAAAACAGAGTTTTAAGTAGAAAATTTACCAAAAATTTGCGAGATAAGTAAAAAAGGTCACCAGTCTAATTTTGGTCATATCCGCAAAAACAGTAGTTTTTTGAACCTCGACAAATTTTTAATTTTGCCGTCCGTCAACGTTTTCTAGATCCGCCCCTGAGTTTTAACAATAGTCTGCATATCCAATATTTAAGTTTTACCATGTTTTTAGCGTTTCGGATGTGTACGATTAGTAGTTGATAAAGTTTGACAGGTTTACGCAAGGATAAATTTCATGCAATTGAGGTTTCGATTGTCAACTTCTGTGTTGCACAGTTTACAGTGGTTGTAGTAATTACTAATTAGTTGAGTATTTACATAGGGATGTTGATCTAGTCATAGAAAATCAATTCATGTCAATAATAATAAAGGCGCCCAGATAAACAAATATTAACATGGCTACCAAAAACCTGTTCAAACAAATGCTGCTTCAAACGCTTTTATGAAAAGTTGCGTTGATGTTCGCTGACAAATGTCGAGTGGTGAGACGTTCCTATTGATGAAGAAGATTCTGTGTAACGTTTTTTTTAAGTTTCCAGCATAAAGTATTCGTTGACATAGTTTGATATGTTGATGTAAGTGGCTGCTTGTTATTATCGTGGAGTGATGGTTATTGATATGTAAACTGTCGGTGCTCCATATGCGTAAATGGCTGCTGTTTGCTATTGTGATAGGGCGATGAAGGCTGTTAAACAGAAATTGTTGTTGACTGACACGTGCGGCCCGTGATCCATATCATGTTTGTGAAAATGGTTTTTTTGGTTTGTCGTTGTATTGTGTAGTATGTAGGTTGAGTAACTTGCGCAAATAGTAAGTATCGTAAGTTATGAAAATTGATCTTTAATTAATTTGGCAATTGTTTGGGTTGTAGGTTTTTTTGTCGTCACATTCTAAAAGCGCGGAATTTTCTGAAAGGTTCAAGTTCGGTAATGTTATCAGATTCTGCGTCAGACGGATTCCCATTTTTGAAAAAATATTTGCTCTGGCGAATAAATTGTCATTTTGTCATGCAATGATGGCGCAATATAGTTTGAGGTGCTTTTTTATTCCAAATGGTCTGGCAAACAAATTTTAAACATTAACGATTAGTGCGTTTTGATTTTATAGATGTATGGCTGACGTCTGAAAGTTTGAGGTGTTTTTAAAATCGTTAGCAACTAGTGAGTAAAATATTTAAAGCATTCAAAATAAATTTCAATATAGACGAATAAATGTCAGTAAAAAGATTAGTTTTTTTAAATGTCATTTGTAAATTTTTTATATTCGTTGTCATTTTTCAAAAACATTATTCAGCTTCAAAATTTTCAAAAAAGCAACTTATATTATTGCATTTAATTAGAATCACCATTCTTTGTTATATTATGTCATTTTTTTTACATCATCTGGTTTTTTTTGTCGCGTTTTAAATACGTAAGAACAACTGCTGACCAACGAATCTTTTTACCAACATTCAGGTATTTTAACAATTTATTGCCATTATTTTGTGCCATCCACTACATACCGTTATACGGATAAGTCATTTACGATAAATGGATTTCATTATTTATTGAATTAGAATAGGTTTAACTAGTATAAAAATCATTGATAGAACTTTAAAAATTGACCCTTTTCTTCAGTAGCGGTATTTGGAGTGGCTCCCCAACGGTAATCCATACTAGGGAGAAACAATAATGAGAAACCGTTGGCAGAGAGGGGTTGGGGTTGTTGCAACGGTTTGTTGAAAGAACGAACGAATTTTTGTCTGGAGGCAGCTCCAATCGGCTCCACCCCGATAAAGGCCGCTGCACCAAAGTTCTCGGCGGTTTTTCCTTCAGTCAGAACAAGGAAAACTCTTTTGCAGACATACAAAACAATGCTAATCAATGCAAGGCATGGCTGACTAAAAGTAAAGGCAAACAAATTTGGTCATTCTACCAAATAGCAAATCAGGCCAAAAGACTGAAAAAGAATATAGTTGGTGCCACATGCATAAAGAGTAATAAAGGCACCATAATAACATTGCAGAATGAAGTGAACGATCACTGGAAGGAATACTTCGATCGGTTATTGAATGAAACAAACCCTATTGGGATGAAGTTTGATGCACTTCCGATGGAAGGACCGATTCAGGGCATCACAGCTGAGGAGCTTACGGATGCGCTGAAGACAATGAAGGGGGGGGGGGTAAAGCGGCTGGTCCATCTGAACTTACGAATGATATCATCAAGGCATCTGGTAGGACAGGCTTCCGAGACCTCTTACACATCTGTCGGGAGATGTGGAGTAAATCGATACTACTAGTGGAATGGGACAGTAGCACAACTGTGCCAATATATAAAATGAAAAGTGCGGGGTATACGTCTTCTGGAGCACCTTCTAAAAGTTATTGAAAAAGTCATTGAGAAAAAACTGTTGTCGTGCGTTTCAATAGGCGGTTACCAGTACGGCTTCATGGCAGGGAGATCCACCATTGATGCTATCTACATCATTCGTCAACTACAGGAAAAATACTTGACAAAGCAAAAGCGACTGTTCCAAGTATTTGTGGACTTGGAAAAGGCTTTTGAAAGAGTTCCTCGTGAGGCAATCAGGTGGAGTCTACGTAGACAGCTTGTTCCCAAATATCTGGTTCGGCTGGTCATGGCAACATACTCTAACACTAAAAATTTGTTTAGCACAACAGCCAGTAACACGAATGAATTTGACATTAACGTCGGCGTCCTTCAGGATCAATACTCAGCTCGATTGATTGCGACCAAGACTTCTTTGGACGGCCTTTGGGACGTGTGCCAGGTACTTCAACATCTTCAAGAGAAGTTATGGCACTGTTTCCACTTCGTTTGAGATGACCAAACTACCGCAGACGGTGTTGCCGGAATTCGTCCTTTATATCATCTAAACCAGCACGACGCAGGATATCGATAGATTTGATGTGGTCCTTCAGACTAATTCGTTGCATCCATCGGAGCATTTTTAGGTCGGTTCGTTGAAGTTTTTGTTCCAGTTTGGTTGTCATTGGCCATGTTTCTGCAGCATATAACAACATCGGACGTATCACAGATTTATAAAGTCTTGATCGTAGTGGTAGTGGGATGTCACACCGCATCAATATAGAAGCAAGGAGATGCTCCATTTATTCCAGGCTGTTCCATTACAATCTAGAACATCCCCTAGATATTGAAACGATGTGACTTTCTCTACCTTAATGGCTTCAGAAACATTGCTATTTTGAGTTTGTTGTTGTGAATTGATGCAAGCAGGACAAACAAAATTGGACACTTTAGATAAAGTACCAATTATTTTTGAACAACGTTTGTGACACCACTGGTTACACTGCTAACACTTGATTGAATTGTTACCTACACCAGTTTCACAAACTGAACATGGCCATCGTCCGGTAGCTGTGGATTGGATGGGTTCACCAGTGTTCATTGCTTTGGTTTTGCTGATGTTGACTTTGAATCCATGATCGGCGAGTCTGGTGCTCCAACATCAGCATATATTAGATCCCAAATGTCACCAGTGCGTATCGGTTTTGTAATTTCTTCCATCACAGTTATAAATAACAGTGGACTGAGAATCGAGCCATGGTGAACTCGAACGCCGATGTCAAATGCATCTGTGTTTCCAACCGTTGTGCTGACGAGAGTCTTAGTATTCGTATACATTTCCATCACAAGTCGAACAAGATATTCTGGAATGAGTTGTCGACGTAGACTCCACCTGATTGCTTCACGGAGAACTCGATCAAATGCTCCTTCAAGGTCTACAAAAATGTGTGATAGTTGTTGACGCTTTGCGAGGTACTTCTCTTGCAGTTGCCGAAGGATGTTAATTGCATCAACTGTTGATTTCCTCGCAATGAAACGAAAGTGATACTTTCCGAATGTGATGCATGACATTAATCTTCCTTCAATGATTTTCTAGACAATTTTCAGGGAGTGTTCTAACAGACGTATACCCAGATATGATGAACAGTTCTATACCTCTCGTAGACCTGAAACACTGAAACATGTCGTCATCACCATATTTATAAACTTTTCCAAAAAAAAGTGCTTAAGCTTGTTGAGATGTCTAAATTTAGAGTCAACATACATACCCACACTGCCACCACATACTTTCATTAATCAAATGACGAAATTTTTGCCATAAATTTTCTACATTGCATATATTTTTTAAATCTTTAGTTAAGCCAATTGATAACATGTTTGAAAGATATTTGTTAATTTCATCATATTGCCCAAGATTAAAACACAACTTCTTCCTATGTGCGTTATTGCAATCAAAAATTTTGAAAGATAATAATAAATGGTCATTTTTTCCTAATGGTGACACATGCCGCAAATCAGAAACTCTATCCAGACGTGATAATTAAATCCAAAACATGAGGAATACTATTACTTCTGAATCTTGTTGGTTCGTTGACATACTGAGGCCAAAACCTATTGTCAATCAGCTGCAAAAATCTATTTTCAATCCTGTAATCAGAACCTGTACAAACTCTTAGAGTCCAATCTATATGTAAAAAATTAAAATCCTCCAGAACAAGATGTCCTCCAGAAAAACCACTAAACTCATTCAAGATACCAATGAGATTGTCATTATTCTCACTACTTGAAACAGGACTTCTGTAAATTACCATTACATTTAATTTCTGGCCTCTAGAATTAAGCCTGGCGCACAAATATTCCTCAATTATTCAATTGAACACTAAATAATTGCAAATTGATTTTGTAATAGAAATATTCCTCGATAACCTGCTTTACAGAAATTTGATACCAAGCAACCATATCCTGGCAAATTAAATTCGTTAATGTTCCATGAGGAATTTTTAATGTTTTTAGGATTTACTTCATTTAGAACTATCGAATCATACTTTACGTCCGATGCGTCTAAGAATAGAAACAATTCTAAAAATTTAATTTAAAAATCCAGTTATTTATGTCATCCTTCTCTGCCACCTTCTTCTTTTTATCCTCCAATAGCTATCCCTAACCATTTTTATAAGATGCATTTATGAAAAGTTTTTCTTTCCAGGGTACAAGATCGGATCTTAAAATTGATCTCGTTGGTCCCGTGGCGATCGTAAGTGAATATTCTTAAGAACCAACTTTGCCATCCAACCAAAGGTAGTATTGACTTCGATGCAGTTTAGAGACCTTAATCAAGGTACAGGGAACATCAATTCTACCAGACAACTTCTGCCTCCGCGAAATTGGCTTTCATTAGTTTACCGCCTCCTTGTTTAAAGCAGTCGGCCGTGACGCGGAGTCACCATCTAACCGTTTGTGCCATGTTGCTGCACATTGACAGTTATTGCTTCTAAGGCGTTGTTTACAATCCCACCGTAGATGTCCTTTTTCTCCACAATTCCAGCATTCTGTTCTAGAACCATTCTTTGACACGAATTTGGCGCAGTTTTACGTCAGTTTTTGATGCTAGGTTTGCTGACTCAAATATAAGACGGTATGCAACGGCGTCGTTGAGGTTGCGTTTGTCCGCTAGTTTGAGAGTTTGTCTAAGATCTGAATCTAGAACAGCTATTACAAACGTTTTCAATGCAGTTTCTTTTCTGTGTTGTGGGTCGTACGTAGGGTTTGACAGCAGAGTCAACTGTTCAATATCCTGTGCCAGCTGCTTTATTGACTCTCCAGGTCGCTGCGTCCGGTTTCGTAACTATGACAGATATATTTGCTGTATGTGTTTTTCGCCATAACGTAAACTGAACGCATTTACCAGGACTTCATAGTTGGAATGGTTCTCAGCTGGAATCGTTTGGAAAACTTCTGCTGCTGACCCTCGTAAAGCTACCACAAAAGCCGTTGTCCGCTCTCTTTCATTCCAGCCATAATTCATTGCTGCTGCTTCAAACTGGGCTTTATAAATGTTCCAAGAAGTTCCTCTGTCATATGCTGGCGTTTTCAATGTTTTCGCGGGTCACGTGGCCTACATGTGTGGATTATATTTTCTTAGTTTCTTTTAGTTCTTAAGTTTGTCCACTTAGCAAAATAACATCTGTTCGAGTCCAACAACCTTCAGCTTTGACATTTATTGTTCTCTGAGTTCTCTCAACTGTTGTATCATTTAAGCATCAATCGCGGCCGACTTTAGTTCGATTTTGGCATCAATTTGATCTCTCGCCTGTTCTATTTCTACTGATTGTTTTTCAACTTTTGCATCAATTTGATCTCTCGTCTGTTCAATTTTTGCTGATTGTTGTTCAATTTTTATTGTTTAATTTTTGTTGATATCATTCGAAAGAGAGCTATCAATTCGGTGTTTGCCCCAGCGTCTACAAAAAACAGACCGTTCAGTTCAGGTCAAATTTCAAAAAAGTTACAATAAACACAGGCCGGACTTATTGACAGCAAAAACTGCATAACTAACACAGGCTTCGGAATGACTGCGCAAACCAAGTTTAAGCATAAACTGGATCGGCGTATGGCTCACTAGTCAGTCCAACTAATTTTTTACTATACAGTTCTGACAAATTCTGAATAACTTCAAAATAATCCCTTACTTAATCAGTTGCAAGATAAACTGATGTGTCAAAAAGGCTACACCATGACATGCACACACAAGGCATATCGTCAAAACCGCTTGAATTGTCGGATTGCGCTATATAAATGATTTCAATTGATTGTTACTATTTTTGTAATCTTTGATATATTTTCTCATCTTTGTATAACTGTAGAATCTTTCGATTGTAAAACTATATAGAGGTACAGCATATGTTAAAAGTAGCGAAGTTAGTAGCAAGATAGGACTTGTGGATTATGCAGCTGCGATATGAATTATTGGCGATCATGTGACACCGAGCATATTTCTTCGATTAGTAAATACTTTACTGTTTCTATTACTGTTGCCATTCAAATAAACGTTTAAAAAAGTTTGTGTTTGAAGCAGTTGTGTTTGTCTATGAGAAATCTTGAACCAACGGAATATTGTTAGTTTAACGAATATGTTACATCAATTTGATGGCGTTTGAGTTTCAGATAGCATTTGAACCAGAGCAGCACATAAAAACAACATGAGACTTGATGGCACTTCCACTGCCTGGATCAATACTCTAGCCTTTACATACGATGTTACAAATGTTAAAACTTGTTGTAACATACAATTTTTCAGAATTTTATTTTTAACTGCAAAAGTAACTTTTGATATAAACTAAATACTAAGAAATAAAGGTTAGACTAGTACTGATTGCCCATCTGTTTTGCACTATTTTGCCACCAATGTATAACTGTCAAGTTTTTTTTTAAAAAACTATTCCTTTTTCTGAAAAACATTATTAAACCATGCTAAAATACAATAGAATATATAATTGAAAATTTCTTAGCGTGATATAAAAAAACCTATACTTTTCAGGCAGAGGAGAATAGTCTATTTTTGTTCTTCTAAATCTATTGCTATTGAGAACTGACGATCTGTGCTTTTCAATAACAACATTTGGCAGTGTGTTTGAATACCACCTAGAACATTTTACTGTAGATATAACAAATTTTATATTGAATGTTAATAAATTGATTTCTTTTAAATTTAAATCCATTCTATATATATATATATATATGTGTGTGTGTGTGTGTGTGTGTGTGTGTGTGTGTGTGTGTGTGTGTGTGTAAATAACTTAGTGCATTTGCTTTTTCTATTGAGGCAAATACCTTCATTTGTAGTTTTTACATAGACTGCAGTTTCAAAGCAATGTTCATTGCTAGTGACGAGGGTATCAAGAGAAAGGTAGGGATTTATCGTTCTCATGAACAATTTAAAATCAGCACAAGAGCATTCGTCAAACGCACCTTCACTCACTCATAATCATCATTAGAAAAACAGTGAATCAGAATTAAAAAGAATCACGAATCTCTTGGTAAAAGTGTATACTGCACATCAATGATTAAAGAAATAATTAAATATAACTTACAATAACTTAACATCCCAAAATATAACAGACACCATTTTCTATTATGGGAATCATACGAACCCATACTGCAAAACAAACAAATCAGTCTTAAAACCAATCATTTATAAAAATGTCAAACCTAGCAAACCATCTGACAAAAAAAACTAAAAATTCATTATAGGAATGCAAAGACATCAAATCTGGTCAACAATTGCACTTCTCAGCATGGTTCTGCGTTAAAAAATAGCCATCTGATAAATGAATTTACATGTTCCATTAACGGCTGTGCACGCCAGAATGTTCATATATCGGAGTAAGTATAACATCGCTAACCAGACGTCTGACCATGCAAAAAAGGAAAAGTTCAATAAAAACACACCTAGAATACACACGTAATAGTGAAACTACAATAGAGATCCTAGACGACCACACCAAAATAGTGTACTGTAATTAACTCCAGCCATTCCCATTTAAAATTAGCCAAAGCCATACTCATCAACTAAAACAGCCCCAGATAAACAAACAAGATTTCATCAATACTCCTGACAAGAAGAACAATAATAAAATATATTAATAACACAATTTTTCCGACTCGAACAAAAATCACTGATTCTGACACTCTGGTAATTATCAATTTGATTTGCTGCCAACGTAAACCTGTTGTTGCTTTCGAAATGTTGTTTTCACTTTTTTTTATATAATTTTAATAAATGTTTAAAAAAGAAATCAAATAAAAATCAATAAATCAATCTTCGTTTATCGTCCAGAGACCCAGTTCCCCCGAGGTAGGACGTTTAGGACGTTGTTTTCTTTGCCATCAATTTTTTGCGCCAAATTAGATGATCAGTTGTATCCGTTTCATTTAAATTTAGAGCTTTCATGTCTTGCTCGATTGTTTGCGACCAGGACTTCTTTGGACGGCATTTGGGATGTGTGCCAGATACTTCAACATCTGCAAGAGAAGTTATGGCACTGTTTCCACTTCGTTTGACATGACCAAACAACAGCAGACGGTGTTGCTGATATTCGTCCTTTATATTATCTAAATCAGCATGACGCAGGATTTCGGTAGATTTGATGTGGTCCTTCAGACTAATTCGTTGCATCCATCGGAGCATTTTCATATCAGTTCGTTGAAGTTGTTGTTCCAGTATGGTTTCTGTTTCTGCACCATATAACAACACCGGACGTATCACAGATTTATAAAGTCTTGATCGAAGTGGTAGTGGGATGTCACGCCGTATCAATATAGAGGCAAGGAGATGCCATTTATTCCGGGCTGCACGTATACGTGCTCGAACGGCAGCTTCAGCTGTGCCAGTACAATCCAGAACATCCCCTAGATATTGAAACGATGTGACTTTCTCTACCTTAATGGCTTCAAAAACATTGCTATTTTGAATTTGTTGTTGTCGATTGTTGCAAGCAGGACAAACAAAATTGGACACTTTAGATAAAGTACCAATTATTTTTGAACAACGTTTGTGACGCCACTGGTTACACTGCTGACACTTGATTGAATTGTTGCCTACACCAGCTTTACAAACTGAACATGGCCATCGTCCATTAGCTGTGGATTGGATGGGTTCACCAGTGTTCATTGCTTTGGTTTTGCTGATTAGACTTTGAATCTATGATCGGCCAGTCTGGTGTTCCAATCTTAAAACATCTGTGCTGCATATCATCAGCATATATTAGATTTCAAATGTCACCAGTGCGTATCGGCTTTGTGATTTCTTCCATCACAATTATAAATAACAGTAGACTGAGAATCGAGCCTTGGTGAACTCCAACGCCGATGTCAAATGCATCTGTGTTTCCAACCGTTGTGCTGACGAGAGTCTTAGTATTCGTATACATTTCCATCACAAGCCGAACAAGATATTCTGGAATGAGTTGTCGACGTGGACTCCACTTGACTGCTTCACGGGGAACTCGATCAAATGCTCTTTCAAGGTCTACAAAAATGTGTGATAGTTGTTGATGCTTTGCGAGGTACTTCTCTTGCAGTTGCCGAAGGATGTGAATTGCATCAATCGTTGATTTCCCTGCTAGGAAACCAAATTGATAATTTCCGATTGTGATGCACGACGTTAATCTTCTCTCAATGATTTTCTCGACAATTTTCAGGGAGTTTTCTAACAGACGTATACCCCGATATGATGAACAATTCAATGAATCACCTTTTCTTTTGTATAGCGGAACTCTCATGCTATAGTTGCATTCAGTCGGCATTGAGCAGTTCCTCCACACTTCACGACAAAGTTGTAGTAACGTTTGGATGCCAGCAGTACCAGATGCTTTGATAATGTCATTTGTGAGTCCAGAGAGCCCTGCTGCCTTTCCATTCTTCATAGCTTTCAGAGCTTCTGTAAGCTCCTCTACAGTGATGTCTGGAATCGGACCTGTGATGGGTGGAGCGTCAAATTTGACATTAATGGGATTTGTTTCATTTAACAGACGGTTGAAGTATTCTCACCACTGTAGCTTGATCTCATCTTGTTTAAGAACCATCTCATTTTTGTCGTTTTTGATACATGAGGTACCAACTATGTCTTGTTTTGTATGCTTTGCTTGTTTAGCTATACGATACAGATACATTTGTTCACCTTTGCTTTTAGTGAGCCACTCTCTGCGCTTATCCGTCCGAGCCAGTGCGACTTGCATAAATCAAATCAAATAAAAAACCAAAAAATATCAATGAAAAATTTCACTTTAAAACAAATTAAATTTATGATCAACTGCTGCTTAACTGCCTGCATGTATGTGTGTAATGTAAAAAATTTTGGGGTGTAACCAATTTTTATTATTTAGATCAGTGCTATGTGGACGGTCCATGGTAAATGGCCAAAAATGTTGAAAATTAATTAACAAAATCCTAGTTTGAATTTGACCAGCAAAGCAACAAAAAATTCATTAAACTTTACTGGTATGCAAAGGAAAGCATGACCTATAA